ATAATCTATGAATACATATATAATTCAAGTGATGTGGAGAGATTCTTTGTTTTGATTGGATTGTTGAATTGGGTCTCCAAGCACACTCTTCTGTACCGACAGGACAGGAGAACAGCATGGTGAGTTGTAAACTTACTTGTGTTGAGTCACTTAGCTCTTCACCCAAGCATATAGAGTTGGTTAGAAACTGGGAGATTAACCTGTGTTAGATTTGAAGCAGCTCATGGAAAATGTTGAAGCATGATGGTCTTCCTTCTTCTGGCAACATGTTCAGTGGCGTAAAGTACCACCTATCTCACCCTAAGAGACTCTTTGAAGCTCAGCAATTGCCTTCTTAGGTGGCTGATCAGTGCTTCTGAAAGAAGACTGTGAGGAGGCATTCTTAAATAATACTTTTTGTCTAATCTCACTTTCTTGAAATCAAACAGTTTTTCCTGAAAATCTTGGATTTTCAGTTATGCAATGGAAAATATATTTTTTTCTTTGGATAGCAGATACTTCCCCTGTAATACGTGACCAAAAATCTAATTTGCCTTCTGCAGACGTCAGTTATTTTGCTTTGACATTTTTGAGCCAGCCTCTTGTCAGTTCATTCTCTTCAGGTCTTTTTGATGTAAGAAAGTTATACTGACTGGAGTATTTTTTCTGGTTCTTTCTATCCAAAAGCCAGACCAGTAATTGATATTGATGATGTAAGTTATCATTTTTCACATTTTGTGGTGCTTGTGCACAATCTAGAAGCAGTTTGTGCTTATTCCCATGTTTAATCTTTTGTGTAATAGTTAAATACCTGCTAACAAAATAAGTTTATGGGTATATTCACACTGTATATCAAGTAAAGCACAGTGCAAGTGGTTCTTGAACTAATGCTAAAAAACCTAGTGCCAAAATCAGGTATAATGCAACATAAGGGGTAGGAGTCATTCACAGTTATAAAAGTCATGGGCATATACTCTCTAATGGATGATTCTCTGTATCTTACTGCTTTCCATGTTTTCTTCATCTTCATTCTTGTTCAACACTAGAGTCAGCTGTTGAAATAAGGTTTTAGAGAGCAGAGGAACAATTATGGAAAGGCCATAATTGTAAAAAAAAAAAAAATCAGAAGGAAATTACAAATTAAAGTGGAATGATTGTCTAGTTCACTCTGGCTTCCATTTTCTAATCATTCTAAATTATTTTAATGCAAGTGTTCAAGCTCAAAATTAGCAAAGGTCCCATGATGTAATTCTCCTAACACCCATTGAATATTACATTATACCAGTCCAATTTCATTCCAGTCTTTCACAGCATCATCTCCCTCTCAGGGCACATGTATCATGGTTTAGGGACCTCCTACCTGCTCTGTTTCTAGATAGTACTTTTAATACATGAAGTTTAGGAGTCGTTGTGAAGTTAAAACCAGTTTCTTATTTGTAAAAGCCTAGGAATATAAGATAAACAAAATAACTCTTAAAACATTTGTCTTTGAAATATCTTAAATTAATAATCAAAAGCTCGCATCAATTCTAGAACAAATCAAACTCAGTCATGAAGATGAGAAACAGGAATTATTAACTGAGTAGCAAGGCTGATGGAGGCTCAATGAGATCATTTTGTTCAAAGATTAAAGGCGATGAACACTGAAATGGTTGAGGAGGATGGCTATGAACAAATCTGACTAGAGCTGCTAAACTCAGTAATGATCAAAAGTTAATTATCAAAGCAGAGAGAACTACTCAACACAGACAATTTGAGTCAATAGCTAAGCAGCCCAGAAAAAAAAGTAATTTGGAAGAAATATTTTCCTATAATGAAGTTATATAAAAGACATACATTTCAAAGAAACCTGCCTAAAACAAGATTGCATTCTTCCTGATCAGAGAAAAATAATTAGCTCTAATTGACAGACCTGCTGCACACCAAATATTTTCAAACAATATGTTTCTGCATCAAAGCTTAACGTGTAGAGTTACTCAATGTCACTTTGATTTTGCCTTCCTTTATCTTCTGCCACTGGGCATGCTCATGATATCACAACAAACACTCTTTGAAAAATGAATGAGCAACACCTACAAGACAAATAAAAGCAGAAGGCCTGATCCTGCATTTCTTTCTCAGGTGGAAACCCTGGCATGTATTCTGTGCTGTATTTAACATTGCCATGGTCCCACACAGAGGCAAACAGAATCATTTGTAATAGGAAATGATCAGTTGCTTCATCATCCAACATTAAACTAGGCTGGCATGTGGATTAACCTGAGCATTTGCAATGGCTGTTTAAAACTCGGTATGAGTGAGCATGTATGTGAATGACACTCCCTCCAGCATGTGCCTTTTGTTAAGAGTTAGGAAAGTGTCTTCTCCCTGTAACAAAGGGGTAAAATTTGGAAATTCTCCATGTGAAAATCTAAGGAAACATGAATGTTCATGGACCAAGAAAATAGAATATATCTAGAATTCTTCCTTACTAAATCTACCATGTTTCTTTCAGGGTAAACAGTTGCCATCAATATAGCTAAGTAGTCGAAAATCAAACATCCAGTTTAGACTCTGCTCTTTAATATTCTTTGACTTTGACATTGCCAGTTCTCACTCCCTCACATATCTTCAACTTCTTTAATCTATCATGTAAACAGTTCAGCTCACACCATCAAGCACATGCTGTCCAGAGTATCTTCTATTTTACTTTGTATTAGAATCAACTGCATTATTATTATTTACTTGTGATCCTAGACACTATCTGCTCTTCTGTTTTCTTTTCTTTATCTGTATTTTGATACCAGGTTTTGTGTAGTAATTTTTGATTAATTCAGGGGGGAAAAAAACTGATTTAGACGTGAGTTTCACATGCTTGAACTCGGAATTGTTATAGTCCAGCTATTTGGTATATGGAAGGGTCAAGCAAAATATCACTGTGCATACAAAAAAACTTCTGCCATTGTGGAAGGCTGTTTATGAGCTTTAAAAAAAATTTTAGTTCCCTGCAGGATAGGACTGAAACTTGGCATTCAGTGGGAGGCTTGGGAAACTGAAATGCCATTTTTGATGGCATTTTAATCCATTTTAAATGAAGCATTTGTGTGTTGTTACATGTAGTTTATTACTAAGAAAGATTTCTTAATAACATGCTTCTGACTCTGCATTTGCACGTGGCAGCTGAAAAAGGGAGATTTGGGAGAGTATCATTGGAAAGAGGCACAATTCACATTATCTCACTAATGAGTCAGGGACCCCATTTCATCATAGGCTTGTTTGGGCGGACATAATTAGGTTTGGGTCTGTAACACTTACTTATGCAATCTTAAGTTTAGCATTTCCTGAGGTCTAAGTGTTTTATTTAACAACCCTACTGTACAATTAATATAATTGTTTCCTATCATACATTCATTGATTTATTCTTTAAATGGAAAATACAATCCAAATGAAACAAACAGATTTTTCTTCGCACATTGAGAGCCAGCCCAGAGGATTACTGTTGCCCCATGTCAGCTCTCACAAGCTCTAATTCTCCCTCCCAAATTTTAAACTCATTATTAGAGATTTCCATGGTTGTAAACACAGATTTTATCTTTCCTATGATTGGAGGCAAAAGTGCCAAACCAGCAGGTATTTTGAAAGACTATCCCCATTGTAGAGTCCAAAGGAAAACTCATTCTAGCAAAATTTGGAACCCAGTTATGCAGGTCCCAGGGGTTTCAAAAGTTAGTTTTCATAAAGGATTTAATTCCTCAAGGCCTTATGTGAGCATTTTTCAGGACCACTAATATTAGCAGTTCCTATGTTGGAACCATTTTATTCCCATCCCTAAGCACAGCAGAGGTTAAAGTTCCTCACCAAAACCCTTCTCTTCAATTTTGGTAGGCTTTATAAAAATATCTCTGAAAGTAATTAAGCACTAAAACTTTCCTTACTATAATAGGTTTATGGATCAGTTGTCTTAATTCTGCCTTTCACCACTATCCGTGTTTGTAATCTCACTAACCATCTGACCGCTTTCCACATTTAAATCTATTACAGTCTGGTTCTGCAAATACTAGGAGGAATTCTCTGAAATGATGTGACAACACTAGTTTATCTGAAGGTGATATTTCAAGTCCTTTTGCGTTTAAACGTTATTTAACTATTCTGAAAAAAATCAGAGGGGGAATGCAAGATTGGTTCAGATTACGTAATTATGCCACAGAAGCATTAAAAAATAAAAAAAAAAAAAATCTCAACTAGAATCTTGAGTAGCTTAACCAGTGTGATAGACTGGCGCTGCTCTGCCATCGGTGCCCCCAGCTGTGTTGCTTAGCAACATTTTAATTCAAGAAGAATCGAAGGAGATGAAATCCCCATGGAGAGGGAAACAGAAATAAGAGGGCCGTTGACAGATGATCTGAGTTGTTTCTTCTAATATACTGTGAAGATCACTGGCTCTTTTCATGAATGATAAATGGACTGTACACAGATCAATGGGTTCAGCAATAAACTGGAACCAGGCTCCATGTCTGAGGTGGTGCAGGCCGAGAGGCCCAAAGATTTACTCATTTAGATGATTTGGAGTGTGTTTTCTCAAAGGTTTCACAAGAAGAAATTGATCTGAACGTTTGGTCATCCCTTGCCCTTTTCTGTTGTTGGCAAATAAAAACTGTTTTGGAAACGGAGTCCGTTCTTCCCTTTATTTTTTCCTGTTGTTGTTCTTGTTCCAGATATGGAACAAGGTAGCTGGTGACAAAGGGGCCAGACCTCAGAGTGGGAATGAAGTAATCACCCTGAATGAGTGGTTCCTAAACACTCATGGCCATTAATAATAAACAAACCACACTGATATCACAAATTGGGGCAGAAGTTTTTAAAACCTGTAGCACTCTCTCTCTGAAAGGGTCCAGCTCCTGCAGCCCTCTGCCCTGGTTGTGTCAAGCTGCCTGGGTGTGCGCTTCTGAAGAGCATCCATGGGTTAATGCTTTCTTGCAGCTTGGTTGTGCTTTGGTGTGTTGCTTCACTGTTTGTTTCCCCCACCCCTCTTCTGTTTACAGGCTGCTGAAAAGACAAAATTGAGAAACATTCCTGTAAAGTAAGTTATTTTTTTATCTGTTTAAAAATGCAAGTTTAATGAAGTTGTTGTATACAATCACTGAAAAGACTAGGACAGTAAGAAGGGCGATGAAAGAGATAATAGAATTCAAGTTGCCCCTAATCATAGCTATAAAAAGGTCAGTATCACTGAGGAAAGCTTTCTGTTTCTCATATGTCCCTAATGATTGTACTCCCCGGGTTCCATCCAGTTTCCATAAATTAATGTGTTGTCCATGAATAGCTGCCAAATAATATCACAATCATACTCAATACATAGTGCTCCTAGCCTTGGGGAGGTTTGTACATGCTAAAAAGATTATGATTTTTAATTGCAATCCTTGAGAAGGTCTGACGGGGGGGAAATAACTAAGAATGTGCCAAATGATTTCTAGACACATGGGAATATTTTGCACCTATGTATCAAGGCTTTGCCATCCTGTTGATTAAGAGCTCTTTCTCACTATGTGTGTGCGTCTCTCTCACACCATACACATGTATGTTTCTGCACTTTATAGTAGGGCTTGGTGAAGGATGAGCAAGCTACCAGGGAGCAATTTCCAGGGCATTTTATGAGAAGTTCTTAAATCTTAGGGCACTAGTGGCAACACTCAACCATATATCATTGAATTAAGAAAGTTGCTATATAGATGTCCTGGCTCTTTGAGAAAAGGCATTTTCAGTTAAAGCTACCAGCAATCAGTGATTCTGTTTAAATAATGAATACTCCAGTCTTAATGGGCTCTTATATACCAATAAAACACATATTTTTAGCTTCAGTAGGTGATCATTGCAGTTTAACTAAGTCTCAGTTACTGTATATTCCTGTTACAGAGGAAATGTTCCTATTTTTATAGTAGTTTGCGGATCGTGCTGGCTTTTGGACTGGAGTGGTTTTGTATGTGTAAGAACATACACTGACAGGACTCACAAATCATTGCATTTTAGCACACATAACAAAAGAATACAGTTCTACTTCTCACTTGGCTTCCATTATGTATAGTCATTTGCACCTTATAAAGTGAACACAAAATACGTATGAACACTCCTTGGAGTGATTAGGAAAGATGCAAGATAATCATAAATCACTCTCTCTTTATGTTTTGTTCAATCTGATAAAAATTAGAAATAAGATCCAGCAGGATAGCACATGAAACTTCTAATAAGACAAGGGACCTTTCTTGCCTACAGGGCTAGTTCAAATTCAGTGCAAGCTGAATTAAAGTCATTGTTAGCTGGTGGTTGGTTAATAGAGAGTGGGAAATGAGCTGTGTTTTCACCTCACATTCTAGAGGATCCAAGAGTTGCAAGGTGATGAGAGTCCTGGGGAACAACTCCAAAATAATAATTTATCATTAATTCACTTTTTTTTTTCTTTTTTTTCTTTTTTTTTTTTTTTTTTTTTTTTATATTTTGAGTCAAATTCTCAGGAATGACTCAACTAAATTGAGTTTTCCACATATGAATATTGTTGAGTCTTGCAGTCATTGAACAGCACGTATATGACACTGATGCCCAGTTAATCCACCAAAAAGATTTGGGAGTAGAAGAGAAAGGGTAATTTAGGTTAAATCATTCCTTTATGGGACTTGAGCAAGTGTAACATTTTGGAATGGAAGAAGGCCAGATGGGCAGTCTCGCTCTTTCCACCTAAATGTGCATATTTCACTCTGTCATGTTTCCCCCAACTGGTTGTTTAACTTCTCTTTGACTGTGTTCATGGTGGCAGCTTCAATTAGTACCCTAGGGAATCCATTATACATATTAATTATACTCTGCATAACAAAACAGCTGAAAAGTCTGACTAGTATTTTTCAGTGACATGTAACTATTTAAGGTACCTGTATACAATTATGACTGCATGCTTAAATATTACTTCTCAGGGCAAAAGTAAGAATGATGTCTTTAAGATAGCAGTAGTAGATATAGATTGCATTTATATAAGCATCACAGTCACATTTAGTACAGCTCAGGCTTGTCTAGCTTTTAGTCTTTGCTTTTGTAGCTCTCAAATGTCAAAGAGAATTTCACTTGAATTTTAATGTTCTTTAGCTATGCAAAATAAAGTTAGTAGCTTCCATTGTCATAAGGGCTGAAAGCTGTACAGATTCCTTCTACCATATGTGACTTATCACATACATTTTTAAAAACACATTTCTGTTATTAAGACATATGTGATAGTACACTTCTGCAAATGTGAATTGCTTTTGGCTAAAAGCCATGCACTAATAAGTTGAGTTGAATCTAACCACATTTGACATCTGTTACTTTTTTTTTTTTTTTACATATATAAATATATATATATAAAGTATTCGCAGTTGTCATTAGCATAAAAAATTTCCTTGTTTTTATGCTGTGCTGACATAGTTCTTGTGTCCCAAAACTGGAATCAGAAATCACTCCCTTTTAAAGACTATGGTTTATATAGGGTCCTTTGACAGGGCCTATTAGTGCCACTATTTAACATATTAGTTTAGGAGCATAATGAATATTTCTGTAAAAATGGTCTATTTACTTTTCATTGCTCAGTTTATTAATGTTGCTGTTTTAATGTTCTGGAGGAAGTTTACTGCTCTTTTTTGTTCTGTTGGATCCCTGCAGCACTTAACACTTATGGAGGGAAAAAAAACAATTAAGTTTCCTTGCTACAGTTCAGTAAGGCAGCCAAGCAGGTGGTTTCTCACTGCCTGAGTGTCTATAGGTGCTTAGACTAACTGGCATGAACTTTCTGGTGGCCAAGGTAGATGCAGGTGACATTTGGCTCCTTCAGAAGGCTTGGTCTCAGTTCCATGTTGCTTGTAGCACTGCAAGACACAGCACATGCACAGGAACTCATCTTTATGTATTGGTAGCATCATCTGGCATAATATTACTATACATAAGCACACAGAAAATAGCTAAGAAGTCTCTGTGTCTGAAGAACTGATTTTTTTTTTTTTAGATGGAAATAGTGCAGTTACTTTTCCAAAAACATATGACCCTTTCCTGTCTGTATGTGGCACCAAGGTGGCCCCCATAGCATTAGAATCTATTACATTTAACTTATTTTTCCTCTTCTGCCCTTGTTATAGAAGGACTACTTGCTTTCTCCTGTTGGTTTTATCCATATTTACATTGAGTGTCTATAGTAGAAAAAGGGATTTCCTGGATGCAAAGTCCTAGATACATTCTTACTTACATGCTGATCCTTATCATGCTGTTCCTATCCCTGAGTCTGAAAAGTGCAACATGACTTAAGTTTACCTTGTGGACAGTTTACGATTTCTAGAGAGCTGTTACGTGGGAAATGGTTTGAATTAAGACATATCCAGAGGAAATAATATTCCATATACCTTGTGATTTAATGGAAGAGGGGGAGAACAGCATTATCATTAAAATTCAATAGCAGCTTTATTCTGAAACCCAACTGTTTATCACTCTTCCCAGAATTTTTTCCAGACTTGGGTAGGCAATGGGAGCCCACATCAACATTGAAACTAGAGGAATCATATTCATGTTGACTTGGACCACATCACTTGTGTTTTATGAGTGAGTTGAGCTGCAGGATCCCCTCAGATCTGAGCACAGTCTGGGTTAGGCCTCACTCTCAAGTACAGATATATTTGACTTGGCAACCTGTACGTTAACACAGACTGAAGGTTAACCAACCCAGTGCTTTATCTCTGCCAGTGGCAGAAGGTGGGGGAAGAAGAAAGCAATTACAGAGGCATCCTCCACAGGGAGTACCCTCCCACCTTCCTGCACACCTCTTCTTACACTTCCATAGCCACACATCCTGTGTGTAGGAGGTACCAATGGACTTATCCTCCATGAAAAATCTCCTCCAAAATCTATTTATACTTCTTGTCCCCAAATCATCCTGTGGCATTGAGCACCATCGTGTGTGAAAAAAATATTGCCTTTTGTTTGTTTTAAACCCTTTTCCTCATATATTCACTGGAATCTACACAAATAATTATTTTTACACAAAAGAGCAAATGATTACTCACAGTTCTTCATTCTTGTCACTACATATCTTTGTCCTATAGACCAAGGAGTCTTCCTATTCAAAAGCCACTAATAATGCTGTTTTCCACTCTAAGTGTGTGAGCCCACCAGTGAGCTGATACAGACAGGTCTCTCTGTAATTGGGAAAGGACAGCTGTGTGTCTCCTAGTTGGGCAAAGACAGTGGTTAGGAAGGCAACTAGTTTCTTTTCATTGTTCTTCATATTAAAGAGATGAGTTCTTTGCATGACAATGCCCTTCTAACTAAAGACTGGATATAATGGCACTCTAAACAAATGACTCAGATTACAGTCCTTTATGAAAATGGCCAAATGGATTCCTTGTGAAAATGTGGGCAGGTGAAAGAATGCTTTGGCTAAAACTGGGTGTCATCCAACACTACAAAATACAACAGTTTTGTAAGAGAGAAATTAAGTTTCTACAATGAAAAAATAATGCTTTTAAAAGTGGTTCATGTAGTCCATGAACTACTGTAGAACTGTGAGAATATTAGAATTGACTTCTTGCTTCGAGAAAAGAAAACATTGCCTTCCTTGATTGTCCTTTATGTTCTCTTCTTTTATAGTCCCTTTAAAAATCTTCAATAGAAAGCAATGGCATTTTCCCCAAACACCTGCACATGCTTAAATTTGCTGTAGATTTAATGACTTCCAGATACATGTTTTGGGATTATAGCTTGGGTTAAAATACCGCTGCTTTTTATATTTTCAAAATATATTTGTTTTCCATCAGCCACAAGTTTGTTAACCGGAAAGACTTCTGGTGTTTATTGTCTTTTCCTGCCATAAAACTCATCTTCTCCTCAGAAGGGCATCTGACTTGACTTGGTATGGTTTTCTGTCCCAACCATCATTGGAAATACAATCCATTAACATTTGATATCTTGACATTTCAATTGACCTCTCATTTGCAAAGCGCAGTGGTATTTTTCATGGCCTTTTCATCCTTGATTATACATGGAATAGGAGTGACTGTTTCTACTGACTGCACTTTG